GACCCTAACTTTTAATATCATTGCTCCTTCGCTGACTGTTGGTACTTTTCATTTTTTAGATATTTTTTTAGAAAGCAAAAACAATGATTGTATATATTCTGTATTCACACGGGAGCTTTGCTTTGATTACAAATTGGGAGATATGTGTTACCAGTAGCTCCTGAGCAAAGCGAAACGACCACTCGCGTAGTCGCCAATGGTGATTACAATGAGTGTAAAGTAATAATATTATGAATGCTCCATGATAAGCACTGTGAAGCACTGCCATACGCCAGCCAGACACGGAGCGACGCATATTCGTTCTGAGATTCGGTATATACACACAGCTTTGGTTTTGAAAAAAAAAAGTATATGAGTACACATTTCTCTTAATTTGGTTTCTACCACCACACTCGTTTTGACAAAGGTCAAGTAGTATATTTTTCAGAGTGAATGCGAGCCAGTCGTCGAGGGCCTTTTCGGCCTTCCCGGTCGTCTTTCGTTTTACTGCTTCAGATGGACCCAAATTAGTTTACACTGTGTTTATCCGTTGCTTTCTAGGAATATACAATCACTCGACCCCCCCCCCCCCCCGTTTACAGTGATTCCGGTTACAAAGGGAGAACTTAAGTCAGTACTGGGTTTGCCAGGAAGAATATTCTCTTCCAAGCTGACATACGTGTATTTCTATGACTGGGGTCACGGTTGGGTTAGCACTTTACGAAAAACTAAGCTAGCTTCCGGTAATGCTGGCGCCAATAATCGTTTATTTCGAACTATGCCACTAGTAACTAGCAACTATTTAGAACCGGGTTTGGAAATAATGCAGAGCGCAACAATGCGTACTTTCTAGACAATTAAACGACAGTTCCACAACTAAACTTTACCACCAGACTATGGTAAACCTCGTGTTTAACTACAATGGCATGTAGTAATCCCACAATGCATGTCTTCTAATTCTGTTTTCAATAACTGGTATGTACAAACACCAGTGTTGTTATTAATATCTCCTTTTTGTTCGAATTAAGGTGGTGACTATTTCACACGGACAAGTTTGGATGCCATGTCCGCATACTGTGTGCGATATATATATATATATATATATATATATATATATATATATATATATATATATATATATATATATATTTGCCTATTCACCGCCCATTCATTCATCCATCCATTAGGAACACATTTGAACTTTCAGTTGCCACTACGTCTCCGGAATGTATGGCTCCTGGAAAATATTCTCGCACTAAAACTAGCAATCTGGTTTATTTGAATTACTCGGTACCGTCATCAAATTAAAACCAAATGCGTTGCTAGGTTATACTATGGGCTGGTTCATTTTGTCGGGGGATGTCGATCAAAAACTTGAATGAAATGTCCGATTTGAATATTGTTATTTCCAAATACAACTTTAATAGAGAAAAAACGCCCTTGGGTATAATTATCAAATGTTGTTACGTCATACAACGCGTATCGTTATTAGGGAACTCGCCGTGTTATGTAAAAAGTCCAGACCACAATAGCGTGTCTATACGAGCGCTTCAAGGGGTGCACAGTTCACGTGTTCATCGCAATATTTAGGGAGATATCATCAACGCGTCATCACTACTGTACCGACACAGTAACAGCGTACATCGTGCAACGGTTTACGCTGTGAGCCAACTATACAGCCACCATTGCTCTCTCAAAAACTCCGCCACCAGCTTTTATGAGCTTCAGGGCGACTCACTTCAAAGGTATTTTTAAAGTTCCCGAACGCTGACAATATCTGACGGCACCACGGATCACGTTATCACTAAGTTTGTTCGTGGCACAGTATTGTTGAACGTAAGTCGCACTCACTTTATTTTGTAATACTCGTCGCCTTCACACATGTGATATACAATTTTATTTAACTTAGACTGAGAGCTACAATGTGCCGATTACGGTTAAAAGTGGCATTCAACAAGTGGATACTATAAAGATTCTAATGGCGCGTCTTTCAAAAAACGGGAACAGTCTGTTGATTTAAAAACTTATAAACTCAACGTAGTGCGTCGGTCATATGTACAGGTGTTGCAAACGTCTAGCCATTTTTCGGTCTCTGGAAGCTGCCCTGCATCAAATTCAAGTCAATAACGGTGCCCGTGGTCTTAAGATACCCTGCTCAGCCCTAAAAGTGACGCATTCTTTGCCGTGAGACAAATTCAGATTTGAACCGTGCATATTTGGGTCCCCGCGTTACACCACAACTCAGTGGGGCAAAGGTAACCGGTTGATACCGCTGTGTCGTGTCAGATGATACAAATGATAGCACATCAGTAGGAAGTCGCTTGAAACTTGAAAAAAAACGTCTTTACATTACAAATGGAGCCAATTTATTTGTTTCAATTCAACTTCAAAATGTACGTGTCGGTCAAATACTTAATCATACTAAAAATACTGACTTGTATTATTCGTTGATGTGGAAAATTCCATTTTAGTGATTATAAAATGTCGTCTGCTATCTCAAATGACGTATTTGCACGACATGCTTTGCGCTACGTAGATAGATGTCACGTTTCGAGTTGTGTTCATTACACCACCCTGTGCTTATACGTTTTTTAAGCTGACAAAAACGTGGAGAAAATTGTGACCTTTGAACCACTAAATTATTGTATTTGGATGAAATAAGAAAACGTAATATCAAAATTAAGACACGTGTTTTAATCGCACGATTCGTATTTGCTTGACAGGTGTCAGCTGGTAACGAAATATTCGTCGTACACGAAACGTCATTTATATAACTGAATTTACTGCTTAAAATAACTCAAGTTATCTGGCAGCGTCAACTTTTCACACATATTTTAAAACAAGTCTTTACAAGTGCGATAAATCGAAATTTTCTAAAGCTGGCGTGTAATTCAGACCGTAACTAACCATTCGCCACCGAGTCCACTGCAGACAGCCTACGCCAAATGTATAGTAGCCTTGTCCCGAACGGGAGATGACGAAAGAGAGAGAGAGAGAAATACTGATCACGCGTAGAAGCAACGGGGTGGGGGTCATTGAAACATGGGAGTTAACTTTGGTCCGCAATATAGTCCGTACTTTGGTAGGATTTTCACGACATAGGACGAACTCTCGTGATCACGGGACCCTAAATCGATTCGTTTTCGTCAATAAGCTATATAACTGACATGAGCGTTTCAATCCTCTGACCTGGACTTTGAGTTTCTCAGAGCAGCTTCGGCTCCACCCGGGCATATCTCTGCTATCCTAATATGAAATGACGTTTATATAGATCTGTGTTATCTCACCTACACACACGCCAGCATGTGTATCTAGGACGTCGAACCGCACATATGTTCAATGATGAACAGTGAAACAAACTCAATAAGATGGAACACAGTCCCACTATCCCCGGTCTGGAAACGACTAGCGTTCTTTTGTCTCGAACCGCGGTGCGGGTAAACAAACCTTTCACACCCGGGCCGAGGGAGTCAGGAAGTCAGACAGATTACAATACCGTCAAAATATTCATTAAAATCGGAAAATTTACCGTCATGCAAAGCGATACCTCATTGTATGACTTCACTTTGACTTCAAATTCGGGCAACCACAACGTAAACAAACATGAAACAAAATTATCACTATGAAATTTGGGTTTTTTGAACCCTGATACGCATCACAACCAGCCTACCAACTCATAAACATCCAGTTCCTGCAATGCAAAGATTAATATCGGGAATTATGTTCATTTTCTAGTTTTAATAGGGAAAAAACTTCGCGTGCCATCGCTAAACAAATCTTGTCAAAATGGCGTCGTTCATGTTAACGTAGTCGATCGAAAAACCTGATTCTTGGGAGGTTCATAACAGTTCAAGTCAACTATACAACAACTAATGATTTTATTATATGCAACAGTCTATAACAATGCTTCAATGTTTGTATATAAATGATTTTTTTAGCACAGAATTGAGTACATTGTCATTTCGAAACGTCGCCATTTGCATTTACGATCTAAAATAAAAGCATCCATAAAAGTCGCTCAATTTAACATTAATAAAATGCGGTGTGACAAATAACAAATCAGCCCACCATTTTTTAATGATATGTTTCGGTCATAAAATGTCAAAATCGAAGACAAATACTGGTTTCGCGCCGAGAAGTATGGTAAATAAAATAGAGTTTATTTCAATCACCCGAAAATCAAAAACGACAAATATCTGGATAACAGTATGAAAAATTGTTGCGAAAATGTGTCGCTGTTGGTGAAATAGATGAATTAAAGAACTATTCGCCGGCTAAAATATGACCTTATACAGATATCCTGATTAAAATATTATGTGAAAAAGCACGAATTTTGGAATAAACAACTAAGTTGTAAAAAAAAATACATAACACTGACGATGTCAAAAATAGTGGCCGGTTGTGTACTGATCACGTGACAATGCTTTGCCCATACCGGCAATGCGCCTTTGTCAGGGAAGGAGGCCAATTCACACCTAATACAATGACCGTTTCCAGACCAGGGATAGAGGGACTGTGGGTGGAATTATGACGTCTGTGAATAATTCGTTTCACAAACGAAACATTCAATTGTAAACAAAACGGCAGAATTTGACCAAACAAAAGCTGGTTATACAGATACACAAAGGTTAAAATAACTGATCTTTGTGAATCGCACGTACATTTTTGTGTTTAAATATTTACACATTTTGTGCAATGTCCTCCACACTTGCTGAAGATTTTAAAAAAGAATGATAGTAAAAGACCAACACTTTATGAAGATTTACAGAAATTCACATGCGCGAGGAAAAAACACTCGAGTATAATAGTAATAGTTATCTGTTGAAGTACTATCACAACATGGAGATCTATGATCTAACAAAACAAATGTAATTATGTTGTTGCTGTTGTTGATGGTTTGTTTGTTTGTTTACACATTGAATGATACTTATAATGTAATTTTCTTGTTAAACAGTGAATAACCCTGGAAGTATAAGGCAAGATGTCAACTCTGATAAGTGAAGTAAACTGAGCCAGGAATCATGATACACGTCGCCGATTATATCGTCTTTTTTGTGGTCGTTCTGTTTGTCATACTGCAAGCTATCTTCCATGCATTTAGACGAGGCGGACAACGAACACCTAACCAGTAAGTACATATGTAATTTCATATACTCTATGAGGGATTTTATTGGGATAGCTATACATCTGAAGAGTGAAGTGAATAATACATTCACCACCACGTGATATAGGCATGACAAAGCACTGAATAATGCATTTTGTGTATATGTAAATGAATACTGCTCCACTGTCATCAACTAGGCAAAGTACTTTTGACATTTATTTTCGTTTTCATGTCGTTTTCATTGTCGCAGTATTAGTATAGTTAATCGCACAAGCAGCCGTAGTGTTTTAGTGCAACGTATGGCCGAATTAACAAGATAGAAAATGGAAATCTGCTTTATTGTACTTTTACCGAAACAAATGCCATTCATTCATTCTTTGATTAATTAATGTGTTCAATCATTCAATTCATTCATTCATTCATTCATTCATTCATTCATTCATTCATTCATTCATTCATTCATTCATTCGTTCGTTCGTTCGTTCGTTTATTCATTCATTCATTCATTCATTCATTCATTCATTCATGAATCGTTCATTCACTGTTTCTACTTATACTTCTTATACAGGTTTTTCTTCGGTGGGAGGTCGTTGAAAGCGGTGCCAATCTCCGCATCTTTGTTGGTATCATGTATGTCAGCAGTAGCTCTACTCGGATACCCGGGAGAGGTGTACGAATATGGTCTCGGCTACGCATCGTTCATTCTCGCGATAGTATGGGTGTATCCTGTCGCTGCCTATGTCTTCGTCCCAGTCATCAGAGGGCTACGAATTACGAGCTGTTACGAGGCAAGTCTCGCGTTAATTATAACTCCAAAGCTTCGAACTTGAAATCAACATACGTCATAGTACTAGCTCGACTTTCTTCTGTTTTCTGTTGCAATCTATGTTTATTCGTGTATTATCTCCATACAGTACTTTGATTTACGCTACAACTACTTGAGTCGATTGGTGACCTCAGCGTTATTTTTAATATTGAGTGCTTTTTATGTTGGTATTGTAATGATGGGACCAGCTAGCGCCCTGGCAACAGGTAAGAATTGATGCATGCACACTTTTCTAAGCGAATAAATTGGTTTTATTTCATTCATTTTAAAGGGCGGTGGTCGTTGCACCGCGCATGTGCAATATTTGTGTTTATTGGCATTGATTTTCCCACAATCCAACGCGCTCTTCTAATGGAAATCACGAGTACGAGTTTTGACCTGGGCGCGACGTTCACGAATTACTGCCGGTGACTCCTTCGATACCTCCAAATCACCGGGAAAAATACCTAGTTAAAGTTTGGTATCATCTCAACTTATACTCGTTAGTCTGCACAACAGCCAAAGTCGCCATCTTTGTACATATGAGACCCATATATCGCGCATGCGTGGCGCGTCGACCACCGCCCCTTAAGAAACTCATACATACCGCGTTCCCTTTAACAATATAAAACTTTCGTTCTAGTTATAAAATAAAACACGTTTTCACTTCACGATAAACCATGATCAACATACAATATGAAAAATATTAAAAGTTTTCATCCATAACAATTTTTGAATTTCGTGACACTTCCGTGTTATATTGCGTGAATTTGTTACGTAACACCTTATGTAGTAAAATGTATCAATTGTGTGTTTCACTTCCGAAATGGAAATGGAGTTGTCATGATGGAAAAGAGATTATGGAAAGCGATACGGATGGATCGCCACGTGTGTATCGACAGTAACACGTAGGCCATGCCTATACGGACGTGTATGGCACAGTAAGGTGTGAGGCGCTAGTTGATATATGCGATGAATTTGTTTTCATTTTAATGTTGAACCAAATTTTCGAATCCGGCGTGGATGATATATTCCTGCCATCAAGCCATTTGGGAACTGTACCAAACAATCAATTGACCATTTCCCAATGCAGTTTTTTTGATCGTGTGATCTAATTAAGTTGGCCTCTGACACTATTAAACATTTTACTTTACAGTGTATGGTTTTAATGCATGGGAGTGCGTGTTATTCGTGGCTGTTATCTGTACTCTCTACACAACTCTGGTAAGTGAGCCGTTTTTCCCCTCTCACATCATGTACGACACAACTGATACCTGGTAATACTAGTAACTTCCGCATAATGAGTCATCAACATTTATAACATGTATAAAACTATATCCTTGAATCGTCTCCATATTTTCTACCAGCGATTCAAACATTACAACTTGCGACTGACATATTTAGTTTCTCTACAGGCAGGGGTGAAGGGTATTGTGTGGACTGACGTTGTGTTCTTTGCAATTATTTTGATCACCATGGTAATTATTCTGAGTGTTGGCTCCACTGAACTTGGTGGGGCCAGCAACATCTGGGCGTACAACGCTGCAGAAGACAGACTGAATTTCTTTCAGTAAGTACGCCACTAAATCCGATTTAGCTTTTTAGTTTCGATAAATAGACGTACACCATAGTGATTGGACATGGCGATTACTATTGTCTACATCGTTTGTATATTGTCTACGTCAAATCTTCATGTTTATAATTTCCATTGACTCGTTTTATGGGGCTTGGTTACACGATCAGGAGAAACATGAACAATACATATCGCGTTCAAAGAAACCATTAACAACGAGAAGCATATTTTTTTTTTAATTGAGTGACTTTAGAAAATGAGCCACTTACTAGCAGATCAAAGAAAACAATATATGTGTTTTTTGTTGGCGAGATCTACCTGACAACAAAAACGGGCGTGGTCGGATGTGAATACTAGTACTTTATTTTGGAAGCAGCTCGTACCGCGTACACACAGCTCTATCCCACACCGCTCACTCTTACGTCACTAGTATGTAAGATTGTTATATCTTGTTTTCAGTGTTCCTTTTGACCTGACAGAGAGAGTGACGTTTTTTAACTGCATCGTTGGTGGCGGTATAAACCTATTGGCACTGTTAGTCACACAGATAATGTTGCAGAGAATGGTGTCAACAGTTTCTACCAAGGAGACCAAAAAGTAAGTTTAACGTAGACGTACAACGTTTATATATATATATTTATTTTTGAGTGTAATTTGATATAATTTGTAAGTTTCATCAAATTGTCAGTTGGAACTTACTGATACTTGTTTGTTCTACAAAACATGTTGCGCAATGTTCCCGAATACGTTTCCATACTGCGAAGAAAATGGAGGTTACGAACCAAACCAGGTACATTAACATAATAAATGATGAGATTACGTCATCCTGACATGCATATACGTTTTAGTATGTCGATTGGAGGCAAAATACACATGATCTCTGAGATATATGTGGTATCAAGTACACCGACAAGTATTGTAACTTGACATACATACATACACAACCTTGTTAAATATATTTTTTTATTCCAGAGCGGTGTTGCTGAATATGCCATACATGTGTATTTTTCAACCAATACTATATTCTATAGGAGCTATGGTATTCGCTTACTACAATGGTATGTTTAGTTTAGATATATTTAATGTTTTTCATGATGATAAATAAGATGCAAGTTCTTAAGTCGCGTTGCGTCGTGGTAGGCCACAGCGTTACGATGTGTTGCGTCGTGTCGTATTACGCAGTGCTGCGCCGTGTTGTGTTACGTCGTGGTGCGTCGCGTTACAATATGTTGCGTCGTCTTGTGTTACGCTGTGTTACGTCGTGGTGCGCCGCGTTACAATATGTTGCGTCGTGTTGTGTTACGCTGTGTTACGTCGTGGTACGCCGCATTACAATATGTTGCGCCGTGATGTGTTACGTCGTGGTGCGCCGCGTTACAATGTGTTGCGCCGTGTTACAATGGGTTGCGCCGCGTTACAATATGTTGCGTCGTGCCGTGTTACGCTGTGTTACGCGTAGGTGCGCCACGTTACAATGTGTTGCGTCGTGCCGTGTTACGCTGCGTTTCGTCGTGATGCGCCGCGTTACGCAGTGTTGCGCCGTGTCGTATTACGCAGTGTTGCGTCGTGTTGTGTTAGGCCGTGTTACTTCGTGGTGCGCCGCATTACGATATGTTGTGTTAGACCGTGTTACGTCATGGTGCGCCGTATTACGCAGTGTTGCGTCGTGCCGTGTTACAATGTGTTGCGTCGTGGTGCGCCGCATTACGATGTGTTGCGTCGTGCCGTGTTACGCTGTGTTACGTCGTGGTGCGCCGCATTACGATGTGTTGCGTCGTGCCATGTTACGCTGTGTTGCGTCGTGGTGCGCCGCATTACGACGTGTTGCGTCGTGCCGTGTTACGCTGTGTTGCGTCGTGGTGCGCCGCATTACGATGTCTAGCGTCCTGACGTGTTACGCTGTGTTGCGTCGTGGTGCGCCTTGTTACAATGTGTTGCGCCGTGTTACGCAGCGTTGCGTCGTGTTGCGCCGCATTACGATGTGTTGTGTCGTGCCGTGTTACGCTGTGTTACGTCGTGGTGCGCCGCATTACGATGTGTTGCGTCGTGCCGTGTTACGCTGTGTTGCGTCGTGGTGCGCCGTGTTACAATGTGTTGCGCCGTGTTACAATGTGTTGCATCGGTCCGTGTTACGCAGCGTTGCGTCGTGGTGCGCCGCATTACGATGAGCTGCGTCGTGGTGTGTTACGTCGCGTTGCGTCGTGGTGTGCCACATCACGATGTATAATATATTTTTTCATTCATGACAGGTCGGGATTTAGATACTATAGTCGGCGCTACTACAGACCAAAATTTGAAATCTGTTCCAAGCATAGTGCCAGAAACAATGACACCGACCACAAATCCCGCGACTCTAGCGTCAGCAATGATAGGTGTACCCCGCCAAGAACCGACATACTACTCTTCAGACGAGGTAATGTACATGCTTGCTGGTTATGCGCGTAGAAATCAGATACGAGAAAATAAAGGAATCCATGCTTGTTTTACTTTCGATCTGTTTCTTCTCCCAAAATGCATTGCTATCAGCCATGCAGTTTGGGTATCGAGTTTGTTGCACAGAGATACTGAACATTATTATATGTTGCAGGTGTTGGTGTTCTTCGTACGCGACTGTTTTCGATTTATGCCTGGTTTCACCGGTCTTTTCTTCTCCGCAATATTTGCTGGTACCGTGAGGTAAGACATTCCTGGTTACAGGTAGCGTGGCTATAGTCACATAACATTCTAAATCTAAAATTGTTGGTGGCGACGACACATTTATGGGACTTTTAGGGTAACCCAAATCTCAAGGGGGATGCGAGCACACAACCCCACCATATTCACAACACAACCTGGATTCGAACCATTTCATCAACCGACGCCGTGAAGGGCCGGGATAATAGGTAGATGGTGTCAACATTCTTGCAGTGTCTGGTACTTCAGATAACATAACGTTGGCCACATTAAACGCTATTCCATATTATCCTTTAACCATACACCGGTAATATATGCTCTTGTATTGTGATGTAATGTTTAAAAAAACGCTAATATTTCGTTGTCGTTTCATTTACTAGCCTGGTGTCGTCATCATTGAGTGCCATGGCCGCAGTAACGTTAGAAGACTACGTCAAACCCTGGATTATTTGGCGATCCAGGGGACGGGAAATATATACGAACGACGCCAAGAATCTCATGAAGGCTCAGATAATTGGTATGTTATTTTCCGCCCAAAAGTAAACTGGGACTAACTATTAGTGAATCATCAATACATTCAATCAATCATTTGCTAGTTCGTTTGTCTGGTTGTTAACTGCTGTAACACAATTTGTCCGCCTTTATTTTTTTGTTCTCAGTTGTTATGTTTGGATGTGTTAGTGTTGCGTTTTCGTTTCTTGTCATGAGCATGGACTCGATGCTAGAAGCAAGTAACATTGTCCTTGGTGTCTTCGGTGGACCCTTACTGGCAGCCATGTTGATGGGTGTTGCCTACAAACGATCCACTGGCACGTATGTATTATTGGAGCAAATTAAAAACAGTTTTTCCTTAACATTTGTTTGACATATTTGTCTTAGATGTCTTAGCTTATGTTCAAAGAGTCGAGATGAAAGCGAAAAACGTGACAGTGAGTATATATTACTTGACCAGTGGATTGTCCCAATTGGTAAAGTATACTTTACAATTTAGACTAATTTTAGTTATTTGAGTGGTCAAATTAAATGGGACATGGTAGACGCATCGAAAGTGTAAAAGCGATACACTCGGTCACAGTTTCTGTTTGATATAATTAAGCAAAGTAACTAATATATGTGGTATTCTCTCTTTACAGTGGTGTAGTTGTTGGTATTCTCGTTGGATTATCGATGGCACTCTGGGTCTCCGTCGGTGCCTTAGTACACGCAGACCACTTGGACGAGGTTCTAGTCGTATACTCGGTAAGAAAACATGTATTGCATTAACTGTATACTGGTAAACGTAATATGCAAACTGTGACTTCCATGTGCAATATACTTACATGGGTAGCATATGAATAAACTATCGGGGAATAAACGGCAAGCAAAGACAGGTCAATCATAATATGATATAACGATAAACCACGCCCTTTTCCTGTAGCTGTCCTTCATGTGGTATGGAGCGTGGGCGTTCTGTGTCACTTTCATCGTAGGGGTCATTGTCAGCGAAGTCCACAGACGCTCGTCAAAGCAAGAAAGAGACGCCGACCAACAGCTAGTTGCAATATTTCTCAGGTGAGCACTGATTACTTTAGAAATGTGAATTTAATATTTAAAAAAAAAACGCACTCTATGAAAATATATTAAAAACGTGATTGGTGAATGTGTAATTCAATGTAACTAACTGTTGGTAATCCAAGTCGTCGATCGGTTATTTTCATCGGAGCAAAAACGTAAATCTGGTTTTTAAAAAACACTGGTTATATACTGTAGTACTACTGAAAATGTAAATGGGTATAAGAAAATGTTTTTATGAATGAAGTGTACAGTTTTCTGTGCTACACTATTTGCTGTAAATGCTCACTACTTTTACGACAACGCTAAATATTGGGTATACAAAATATAGTCGTGTTTCTGGTGTGTATTTTGTGTTTGATGCGCGAAAGAACGCCCTCTGTGTTAGATGCGTGTGAAAGAACATTTTCTGTGACTAACTCCTGCATTCATCCCATTGCAGGGAAAAAGAAAAAACCATTAAAACAACAGAGGTCTTCTTCTCCGATAAGGAGATTGAAAAAATGCTGGGAGAGGCGGACGGCCGATCCTTAGAAACAATCAAAGAGGCGAGGAAACGAAAAACTGCCAAAATGCGAAGTGTTAGAAAAGACGCAGCCGCTGAAATTGTGGAATACAGAACCGAACAGAAGCGACGTTTCGAGAATATCGAACGCAGTCGCATGTGTCATGATGACTCTTATGCCAGATCCATCGAGATAGAGACGCGACAGAAAATCAAAGAGGCAGACAGGATGTTTCACAAAAAGAAGGAGATGGTGGTGGATTACGTATTGTCAATGGTGTGCGATATATCCCCACAAGTCCATGAAAACTATTATTTCGTTAACAGTTGCGTCGGTGACTATGACATTGACCAAGGCAGTGACCATGACATTGACCACAGCTGTGACAACAGCGGTGACCACGACAGTGACCACGGCATTGACCACGATAGTGACCACATGGTAGACCACAATCATGACAGTGACCACAAGATTGGCCACAACCATGACAAAGACTACGGGGTTGACTACAACCTTAACAGTGATTCCAATATTGATAACACACTTGACAGCTACATCACAGCAAACAAGTTCCAAGATAGTTACTACCATTTATAAACTGATCCCCATTGTTATACAAAATAAAATGCGTTTTTGTTTTTCGTTGCCCGTAAATGGAAGTTAGGGGCGGTTATTCTGTCGTCGTTGACAAGGTCAATACAAAATTATTGTCTAATTTCGATGAGTTTACGATGTATATTTCTAGAGATATGAGCGGAAATGCGGGTTTGAACGTCTTTGGCTTCACACAATTCTACTTGTAACATTGCGATAAAGACTTTCTGTTTTCGACATTGTAAAATCCTTTCTTTTTTACCAAGTACAGTTATCGTTCATACATAAGTTATTGAACAAACTACATATTTTGTAATTTCATTCAGCTGCATTCAGTCATAATTCAAGACAAATTAAATGAAAAAAAAATCGAGAATATTATGTTTTATCACGTGTAATCAGTAACTATGAAAATTATTATTGGTGTGCACATGGAATACATTTCCTTATGAATTATTGTTAATATATCTCGAATTCACTTATCGAAATCATTTTGCTTCAGGTTTTTTTTTCTTCAGTGTCGAAAATGGAATGTCTTTATCGTAATGTTGTTAGTAATGGCAATTATTAATAATTTAGGTACAGCAACATATTGAATCATAGTGTCCGTATCTCAGTGTGTACTCATTTATTTCATTCAGCAATTTTCTTTCATTGTTTTTCCAATTATTAAGTATATTTATTGTGATATGATTGAAAATGCGACCTAAAACTAGACTTTCATACATTTGGTTTGCGGGTAAATATTATTTTACACCCCTTGAAAAACGATGTGTTTTACGACTTCAAATTGGGTTTACGTAATCGTAAAATTACAAAATGGAAATGAACCATATTGCATATTCAATTTGATTATTTGCTTTGGGAATAATAGAAATCGACAGCGCTGCATAAGAGTTACGCCATCCACGGTGCTCCAAACCCAACATAGTGGGGTCTGATGCCGTTCGGTAGGCGAGGGCGCCACCCACGCCTATACGTCAGGGTAGATAAACCTCATCTCATTGCTGATCAGCCATATGCAAATTAATTTTCGTTCGTCGTCAAAGTTACTTATTGTAAAGACATTTTTATGACAACATCTATATCTTGCATGAGAGTTTCTACACTTGTAAACCATTTACTTTTTACATTCTTATTTACCAAGTAGGCTTCTCTTAGTAATATGTTATCAGAGTTTGTTACCCGGTTGAAATATTTAAGTCGTTGTTTCTTGATAAAACATTCAATGGGGTGCCTTCCTAGCTCACCATAAACAGCTATTTTTGGTGTGAATTTTGAGAGACCAAGAATGAACCGACAAAATGAAAGATGGACATCCTCAATTGCAGACTTAGTTGTGCTTTCATCACCCCAAACATCACTACCACATACAATAATGGGTCTTATCAGTTTGTCAAATAAAGATAGTTGGAGGGGTATGTTTAGTGAGTTGTCATAACGCGAGTTTGCATTTCAAAGCAAAGAGAGCTTTCATCCTTTTATTTTTTAAATTATTGATACCCTCTTTATGTTTGCCATTAGCACTTATAGTAATACCCAGGTAATTAATTTGCTTAACAATGGCAATTTCTTTTTCAGCGAAGAAGAATATATTATTGCTCAGGGCTCTGTTTGATTTATTGAATACAATAACCTTTGTTTTCTCTGTATTAACAGCCAGGCGCTATTTTGACGTATATATTTTTAAGTTACAGTTTTGTAGCCCCCTAGCAGATTTAGATAAAATGACAACATTATCTGCATATAAGAGACAACTTACTTTTAAATTATCAACAACTGGGGAGTCACAGTTTTCAGAGTTGAAACAGTCAGGTAGATCATTTAAGAAAATGTTAAAAAGAGTAGGGCTAAGATTTTACCCTTGTCTGACTCCAACTGCTGATTTAAAGCTCTCAGTTAAACCCTCTTTTGTTTTAATTCTGTATTTGTTGTTTTCATACATGTTTTTTATTATATCAAACATTTTACCTGATATGCCATTTTTATGGAGTTTGAAATCGAGACCATTATGCCACACACTGTCAAACGCCTTTCTAAAATCTGTGAAGCAAGCATAGATTTTGTTTGCATAGACTTGGAGGTTGTGATATCTTTTGAATGGCTATTATTATAGAGATATTTTTGTACAATTGTTTTTAATATAATGAGGTTGTCTGTTGTCCTGCAGTTTTTCCTAAAACCGAATTGATGCTTTGAAATAATATTTTGTTTGTCCAAGTATGCTATTAGCCTAGTGTTCAGGATACTGGTAAACAGTTTTCCTAAGCAGCTATAAACTGCAATCCCTCTATAGTTATTAGGAATTGTCTTGAACCCTGACTTGTGAATAGGAACGACTAAGCTCGTGTTCCAACTGGCTGGAAAAATGCCTGAATTATATATATATGACTAAACAATTTTTGAAGCCCTTCAAGAATGTAGAATTCTCCATATTTAAACATTTCATTACAGAGCTCGTCCTCCCCTGATGTTTTATTTAGTTTAAGTTAATTAATTGCTTTTTTTGATTTCAGGTATAGTGATTTGGGCATTTAAATCATTTAAATCATTTTTGCTGTTTGTTTTGTCTTCAACAGTCCAATCAGTTTGACTAATTTTAAGTTTTTATCAGGGCAATTTGTTTCTAAATCAGTTGATAGGCTGTTATTGTTTAAAAGCTTTTTAAAGTAAGACAGCCATTCATTGGGCTCAATTGAATTGTTACTGTTATCTAAACAATCTGAGTTTAAGTCTCGTAACAGCTTCCAAAATTTTGATGGTTCACCTTCCGAATCACTTAGCTTTGATAACTGGTGCTGTTTTAAGTCATATTTTTTCCTTTTAGTTAATTTTTTATATTTTTTTTTTATGACAAAGTATTTTTCCCCTGGTGAACAGATCAAGGGGATATTGCTGAAACAATTTGCTAGCAGTTTTAAGTTCATTTCGAATTTCCCAGCACTCTCTATCAAACCATAATTTGGTTTCTCTTTTTTTCTTTTTTCTAAATTTGGGTGTTATTTTTTTGACAGTTTTGTCCGCGACTGATGACAGCAAAGCACTAAATTCTGTAACAACAATATGAGAGAATACTTTGGGCCTGAAACACTCATACAAAAGGAATTCCCACATAATACAATGTTGTGACGTTATAATCGTGGTTTGATAGTCAAGAATTGGATTCCGCAAATTGTATTATATCACACTATTATTGTTTATTGCAGTAAAGCACTCAAGTTGTAATATAATGTCATTTTTTTATCGTGCACGATAAAATATATGTGGACCATGCGTACATAGCATGATTATTCAGATACGTTCCATTATTCAACTATACAAACATGTGTACAACGGTCCTTAGACACAAAATGGCGTCGATTTTGTGGAGAACGAGAAAGCTATTAGCACCCCCCCCCCCGCGCGCCACAAAGAAAGTGCTCTGTTCTCTCGGGTTATCGCGTTCCACCGTTCCACATATCATGGTTTCATAAGTCAGGGAGTGTGATGGACGCAATGACGGAAAGAATATAACACTATTTGAGGGGCAAAAACAAATCACGTGGTTCTTTCATTCTCAACGAGATCTCGACGGCCATTTTCGTCTGAGATTTAGTAAAGGACTGTTATCAAAATTCAGCTACACTTAATGATAACTTTTTTCGGTTTTTACAATATTACAATGTCTTGATGGAGAATCTTATTTGTCCACTTTTACAACATCAGTATTTACAAATGGGTTCGAACAATTGGGTTTTTATGAAATGCTAACTGGAGCTAACATATTCACCCAGGTAAGTTGCCTAAATTGTTGGGTTTACTGTATCAACTTGATACGAAAATGCGGGCGTAATTATGGCAATTCGCGGCCGTTCAGTCTACATACATTACATAATCACTCACTTCGACCTCAGGCATAGATATCTTCTTTCTTTTCACCATATTTGATTTATTTATCTAAAAAACGCTACAAATGGGTCATTTATTTGTAAACACAAATGGCGATTTCAGTTGTGAAGTTCAAATTGACCAATTCTCATTCTAAGTAATTATCACATAGAGGGCAATGTAATTGTGTCATTGACCAATATTTAAATGATAAATTACTCTTATAATCCACTATTCTAAGTTTGTATAATTTATCTCTTATTTCACTCCAATTCCCAATAAAACATCGACTGGTCTTATTTACTGCAATGCACAGAAGCTTAGAAAACACAACATCTATCCCTCTATATCTATTTATACCAGAGTATATATTATTATTATGGCTGTGAAATCTATGCATACGATACAAAGAGAGCAGACAAATTGGAACAATGATTGAATTGGTTCTAGTAACGTAGTAGTACTCAAATTGAAACAGTATTAAATTTACTTGAAATGCGATAAAATATAGTCCTTATTGAACATAGTGTCACGTGGCGATTCTGCAATATCATTAGTTACAAAAATTCCAGGTCGAAATATGTACGCGATACTGAAAATGAATTCACCGAGACATTGGAATCAGCTTGCATTTAGACCTGCTGACTTGGACTGACAACAAGCCCATGTTATTTGATGACAAGTGCAGATGAATGATGAAAGCTACAAAGATCCGTTTGATTAGTGTTTTCATCAAATATGAAATTCTACGATAATTAAATCTATTTTTGGTAATTACACATTTGATGTTAGTTCGCAATGATACTATGATTACACGCGCACTTAAATTGGTGAATTCCTCCAAGTCATTGTTAGATTTATTTGCAACTGTCCATGGTTCAGTGATATACAACTCAATTCCATGTCATTTTTGTGATTTAAGAATACATTACGTCACCGTTTTTACGATTTGCATATCATCAGAGTTTAAGCCTTTACATGTAATATGTGCCTGTACAGTTTTGCTGATAAACATTTAAAACAAAGCAGACATTGCTATGTAAAAGTAGAAGAACCAAGAAAAGAATGTACACACTATTGAAAATACTGTTATAGCTGTGTTATGAGTACATTTATGTTTATAGGCGGATGTCAATGTCAGGATAGGTTATCTGCTGAATAGCATGTGCCAAGAAGATATAGACTATACACCAATCAATTCAAATATTTACGATGCCAATCACATAGATGTAATTTAGTAGACAGCGAGTCCAAAGTATGTAGTAGTAATCTGGTTGGCAAATCAGCTTCATTGTGTATTTTTAATGGCAGAAGACGATAGGAAAGGGCAATTTACAAGCATGCAACTGGCCAAAGTGTTGTTGACTAGTATCAAGGCCGTTGTTTAGTCAACGTTAGTAATCAGATAATTTATGTGTTTAATTGGAAATCCGGCTACGCTAGCAGGAAGATATAGAGTAAACTTAACGTATACAGAAATACGCATAACCAGCAGAGCAACATCAGGTATACACATTTGATTAGCAATAAAAATTGTAAGCAGGTTGCAAGAGACATGGTGAAAATCAAAGATTCTTTTTGATAAAAAATATCCCACACTATTTGATAAAGTATCTATTGAAGACGAATCCGTTTCCTACTTGTATTTTCTTTGTATATAAATCTAAGATCATATATTACATATATTATCACGAACTCTCTACTATAAATGTTAAATATTACATTCTCAAAGACTTCATTTGGGCATTTTTTCCTTTGAGAAACGAGGTGAAATAAGTACAGTGAATTGTGCATTTTCTTTTTTGTTTGTTTGTTTGTTTGTTTGTTTGTTTGTTTGTTTATTTATTTATTTATTTATTTATTTATTTATTTATTTATTTATTTATTTATTTATTTATTTATTTACAATAACATACTTAACTGTAAATCGTTTTTGTCCAATGTGCATTGCTGAATAAAATTATTACTATCATTTCCAAATAAATTGTATGAAACATATTTTCGTTAATTAGTTTTTTTCATTGCTTTAAATCAAAAATATTATTAGAGGTGAATATCAAAACGGTGTTATTTTTTTTTGTTTTTCTGTGCCGAGAACAGTTTCCTATATATATTATTATTGTAATTGCAGTAAGAACGCCAGATGAACTAAAATCAGTGACAGTTAGCAAGTATGAGCAACGTCCTTTTTCGTTGATATCCCGTATTCCGTCAGACTTGGGTCAGATACACATCGACTATCAAAAGATTGGGGATAATCTTTATATCTTTGCTACGGCGCAATTAATGACACGTGACTACAGTCGGCGCGATCCCAGTATAACACTCAAGATAACATTCTTTGCGGCCAATCGTAATCAGTGAAAAACGTCGAATATACCACGTGACATCGAAGTTAACCCACTGAAATAGGCCAGTTGATGTACTCCAAAGACGGAGAAGATGTATGAAACGGAAGTTCAGCCGTTGCATCCATTCGATTACATCGTGTTTATCAGTGTCCTGGTCTTCGTAACATGCCAGGGTCTGTGGCATGGATTCCGCAAAGGTGGTCAGAAGTCAACTAGCGAGTAAGTTCTACTAGCAAACAGTTGTGTTCACATAGTAAAATGTCACGAGTGGGTCAGGGAGCTTCGAGAAAAAGAACATGATAACACGATAGCAAATGTACCCAGAAGGTGAAAAACTGATTATTCAGGTCTAGAAAGTTCTAAACAGTTTAATATAGCAGTTAAGAAAAACAAATTGAATTTACATTACTTTGACCTTAAGTATCGCAACTTTATTTAATTTATCATTAGTTATGATTTGGCGAAGGAGCAGATTGCATGACCTTGATACATGTGCCAATACAAATAGATTCGTTGATAACACAGTTACAATAACATATAATGAATGATACTTCATATAGATAAACTTGGATGTATTAGATAAACACTTAAAGCGGGAGGGTCGTCACCTGCGCACGCGCGGGAATTGAGTCCCAGTCGACGATAACAACACACGCTATAAACGCAATGACTCATGGGCTTGTTTGTAAACAATGACACGCTATGGCCATCGGAGGCATGCGAAGGCGACGACTCCCTCGCTTTAAATATGTTAGTATATTCCCTACCATGGTTTTAGTCAACTAAGACTATATAAACCGGTACACACATTTTTCCCTCATAGGTTTCTCGTCACTGGTCGTACCATGAAGGCTTTACCAGTCTCTATGTCTTTGCTGGTAACTTTCATGTCCGCCATTAGTTTACTTGGTACGCCTGCAGAAGTTTACGTATATGGTTTTGGTTACGCGGCTTACGTTCTTGGATTCTTTTGGGTGTATCCGTTGACCGCATATTTCTTTGTGCCAGTGTTCTACGCTTTGCCGTTAACAAGTGTCTATGAGGTAAGTCTAACGGCCGCTATCGGGCGTTGATGATCATGATTTGCGTTGACATACCCGAAAATATGCCTAGCTGAATTCATATGCTAGCTCATGCAAACCATAACCCCAAAAACAATTTCATCTCGAAAAGCATGAAGAGTTAGCATATTAGATAATATAGAATATAATTATCATTTTTTAAGCATCAAATATTATCACCCCAGATTTGACGGAAATTACCCAAAATGAAGTCAATTCAACCAAACTTGCACTTGGCTGTATTAGAAAAGTTGATCCAGCTTCATGCTCTCATGTGTACGTGTCATTCCGACATTTCGCTACACTACAAATCGTACTAAAAAAACGTTTGGAATACAAGCCTGCTAAACCTTGCTAAAGTAATGAAATTAAATTAATAGGTGTTCACTTGACCCTTGCAATGTATTATAGGCATATGATGTAAAGAATCAATAACACTTAGATTATGCCCTATTAGTAGATTTCGAGATGTTGCGCATGCGTAATCAGTCATAAATAGATCACCACTAACACGAGTATTATCAAATACTGGCATATGACTTATATTGTTACTGTTAGTGCTGTTACCAATGCATTTTAGCAGGGTAATATATTGACAATCTTATATGTAATTTTCATAATCATCAGTATATGGAGTGGAGGTATAATTACTGGAATCGACTGTTTTCATCAATTCTCTATTTTATCATGACGGCTTTCTACATGGCCATTGTGATGATAGGACCGGCCCTGGCTTTCGAAGCAGGTAATAACCGGCATTCATTATGTAAGAGTATGATAATAATATAATAACAAAATTTATTAAGCGATGTGCACTAGTCACATACCGTTGTACAAAACTCGATTACAAATCACATTAAGAGAAAAATGAACAGTATTATTAAAAAAAAAGTTTTCAAAACACTTTAAAAATAACATTACCATTAAATATGATTTAAATGAAGAACTGTCTTCTAAACAAATGAGTTTTCGGACTTCTTTAAAAAAACATTGATATTGATTGACTGACGTATTCCACAAAAGGGGAATTGCTAAAAGAACGCCAATCATATGTTTTTGTGGTACATTTTGAATCTTTTCTTTTCAATAACAACATTATAACCCAGTTCATAACGGTAAACCGAGTCACATATTAAATAAATTGGAGCAGAATTATTTAAAATTTCATAGACAGTCAATAGTACTTTAAGTAATTTATAGCGAATTTATCTCCAAACCAAAAACAATTTTCACTGTTGTTATCACATAACGTGATTTGCAGTTGTTTTTTTCCATTTTAAGGGGGCTACTAAATTCAATTTCATGATTCTGTTGGATAAGAATTTTCATGAATTGTACAAAACTCAAATCCCTTATGGTGTTTACAAGTATGCCACAGGAATGTAGGAATGCAACTTTCATACAAATATGCATTTTGTTTTCAGTGAATGGCGTTGAAGCATGGAAGTCAGTTCTTATTACTGGACTTATTTGTACATTCTACACTTCCTTGGTATGCGACTTACACGCTCATATGTTATAAATCCTTGATGTTATATATTTACTTATTTCGCAAAATATTTATTTTTCAATGTTTCATGCTGCAGCTACGACAACTATGATGCTTTGTACGTACTATTAATTCAAATTTCATGAATAATTAAATGTTTACATAGAAATATTACATCGAACGCAAAAAATGAACAGAAACTGAATATCGAACACATATATAATATAATGCATAAAATATTGGAAGTCCTCTTGTTTTAATTCCCCGGCGCAATCCGTCCAACATTTTAATTTTCGATTTGATTTCCAGGGAGGGATGAAGGCTGTTATTTGGACAGATGTATTTCTGTTCGGAGTAGTCTTGGTTACTATGATCCTTGTCAGCGTGCTGGGCACCATAGAAGCTGGAGGCATCGATTTTGTGTGGGAGTTTAACATTGATGCAGGGAGAATGAACATATTTTAGTAAGTTCCATCCTTTTTAGAATTGTTCTCTCATATGTCGAATCAATTAAAGCGGGGGGGTC